GGGGGATGGTCACGCCGCAATCCCTTCTCCTCCATTCTCCTCTCGGGATCTTGGGCACGCACGCACACGCGCCCGGCGTGAGTTTTAAGCCACCGGGTCCGGGACACGAACCACGGTCGACTACGTGGGAATCCAGCGACATAGCCATTACGCTAACTGCTGGTTCCCGAGATACTCTGATTTTTAAAAAAGGTTTACAAAAACCAGTTAATCATTTAGGGAAAAAATAGTGTATCACTACCTGACCCCTACATAAAGCTTGCAGATTGGTCAGATTTAAAAATAACAAATGGAGGCTGGCCTCACAGAACAGTGGTTAAAGGAGCTAGATCCCATATGGCTGACTGCATTTTGAATCATATGCCCCAGGTGCATATGTGTGCATGCCCAAAAATTACAACAGGCTAGAAAAACAGAAGATAAGGGATTGTGGCATGACCACACCCATTGTGAGGGCAAGGGAGTACTTTCTCCTCTATCTCTGGTGAACAAACATGCTTACTAGCAATATGAAAAAATAAAAATAAAAACAGAGCCAGCTCTATGGCCTGGGGGTTAAGGCAGCTGGATCCCACATGTCTGACACCACAGTGTGAGTCCGGGATCTGGCATTTTGAGCAACACACCAGGTGCATTATGTATGCATGCCCAAAATCTTGAGAGGGAGAAAGAGAGAAGGGATTGCAGTGTGACTATTCCCCATAGTAGGGTGCTTTCTTCTCTCACCCTCTCTAGGTCTCTCTATGGTGAGCACATGTGCCTTCCAGCAAAAATAAATACATATATACATATAAATATATACATATATACATACAAATAAAATTTTAGAAATAAAAAATTAAATTGTGGAAGAAAAAAGATAAAAAAAAAAAAAGAATGTTAACGCTACCAAAACTTAAGGTAGTATAAAGCATGAACTCTGAATCAAGTTCCCTGAGTTCAAATCTTATCTCTACAGCTTACAAGCTCTGTGCTATTGGGCAATTCCCTATGCTTCCATATCCTTATCTGTACAGTGGGAACAATAATGCTACCCCAGAATTATAGGGGGATAAAACTATATTAGGGCCAAACAGAACTATAAAAGCAAAAGTCAAATAACATAGATAAGACCAGGAAGATAGGTAGCCTAGAAAAAAGGAAGCAGGTATTGCACAATTTCAACATGGACATAAATAAGACGTGATATATATCAGTTAACTCCCAGGAGCTCCAGATCTTCAGAGTCTATTCCTTCTTACCACTTCCTCACCCTCCTCTTGGGATCCTTGGTATCAATTTTGCAAGGAGGCCCCAAATCTTCTGCCATGCTACTCAGGACAAATTGATACAATTAACAGGCTTTTAAAAATGGTAATAGTGGGACCAGCAGTTAGCGTAATGGCTATGTGGCTTTACTAACACGGCAACGATCACGGTTCGAGTCCCGGACCCAGTGGCTTAAACTCATGCCAGGTGCAAGTGCGTTTTTGCCCAAGATCCCAAGTGGAGAATGGAGGAGAAGGGATTGTGGCGTGGCCAACCCCCCTGGGGGGTGATTTCTTGCTTTCTGTCTCTCTCTGTCTTTCTGGCGAGCGCATGCATCCGATAGCAAAAACTTCTTCAAAAAAAAAAATGGTAGTAGCATTACACAATGAGGTAACTGTAATGAAGGTTTTTATCAATGCACAATAAAATTAATTACAAAGGATTATTTTCTGAGTTTTGAGACTGCATTACTTTTTGAACATTTAATCATGCAAACAAACAAATATCAACAGTTAATCCTCCTTAAAATGAAGAAAATATCCTATGCCAAAATGTCATACATACCTTGCAACCTTGACCATCTTTGGATTGTACTGCCTGACCAAGGAAAGCAAGGTTTGCATTGTTTTTCCAGTGTCAATTATATCCTTTAAAAACAAAGAATAGACATTTAAATGGTAAATGAAACCAGCCAAAGCTTTAAACTCAGTCACTATGTTAACACAAAATACGAAAACTCCCATATGTAACTGAAATACTCCCAAATTTTTTCATGCCGTAATTCTCACCAAAATTCACACACTGAGATATTTTAGAATCTGTAAGTCACCTGGTCTTCAAGCAAGTAACAGAAATGCCAGTCCCAAGGACTGGATTTTTGTATCCAAGAAATCAATGACTTGTTTGAGATAATGAATATGCTAATTACCCTGTTTTGATCTTTACACACTATATTCCCATGCTAAAAAATACACTGTACCCCATAAACATATACAATTTTTTGTGTCAATTAAAAATAATCTCAAAATAAGCCTAGTCATGATGGTGCAGGTGGTAGGGCACTAATGAACTGGAACCATGTGGGAAGGCCTGGGGTTCAGATCCTGGATTGACCTGAACACATCACGTGTACCCTCGGTCCTAGCTGAATGAAGGCTGTGGAGGGGATCACAGTGTGACAAGATACTGTTGGGGGTCTCTCTCTCTCTCTCATAAGAGAGATAAAATTTCTTTTTTTAGATTTTTATTTTTTTGGCCATAGGGCATATGTGCTCATTGGAGGTAGACACAGAGAGAGGAAGAGTGAGAAATCACCCCCCAGGGGTGATGGCCATGCCACAGTCCCTTCTCTGCTCAAGATTTGCCACACACACACATTTTTCAAGCCACTAGGTCTGGACTTGAACTGCAGAGTCAGCCATGTGCGATCCAGCACTTTAACCACCACGCTATCTGCTGGGCCCAATAAAATAAACTTCTGTGTGTGTGTGTGTGTGTGTGTATGTCAATGACAGCAAACTTATATGTATATATACATATGCATGTTATTAGCTATGATCCTGTCCTTTGCTATAAAAGGTACAGTACTTTAGATTCTTTTTCCCAAAAAAATTCAAGATAGGCATTCTCTCCCCCCCAATTCTCCAATTCAGGTAGTTAATAGTCCAAACTTTAAGAACTATTAGTTTATACCACCTTAATAAATATATAAAGTAATAAGGTTTTACTATATAAAATGACTTTATGGGTCAGCTGGGGGTGGGTAGTTTAAGGCAGCTGGATCCCACATGATGGACACTTGGGCATGTGTACCCAAAAATCCTGAGAGGAGAATGGAGAAGCAACTGTAGCATGGCCAGCCCACCTTGGGGTGCTTTCTTACTATCTCTCTCTCTGGTTAGTACACGCACTTTAGCAAAAAAAATTTCTTTTAGTCTTTAAGGATAGTTGTTATACCTCTGTGAATAAAGGGGAAGTGAAGAAATACGGGATTGACTATATTATGACATTTAGTCTCTTTTTTAAAAAATGAAAACTCAGGGAAATATGGCAAAATGTTAATGTTCTGTGGCAGGCACACAGATGTTGAATAATTTTTTTTAGTTGAAAATATTTCATAATTAAAATTAAAAGCAGGGGCTGGTAGGTGGTGTGGCAGTTAGAGGCACTGGATTCCCACATGGCCAGCTATGGTTTGAGTCCCGGACCTGGTGGCTTACTTTTTCACTCCCCCACTTCCCCCACCCCCATCTCTCCTTGGTCAAGTTCAAAAATAATGATAATGATAAAATTAAAGAAAATAATTCTTAAAAAAATTAAAAGCAAGTGATCTAAATAGTTTGAGAAGGAAAGGGGTATCAAGAAGGTAGAGGTGATTTTTGAGTTGATCCTTACAAATAATTAAATACAGGGTGAGAGGGGAGAGGTAAGAATATTTCAAATATAAGAAAGAAAGAGCAAACAGTGGAAACAACCTAAATGTCCATCAACCAATAAATGGATTAAAAAATAATATATGCATACAATGGAGTATTATTTGGCAAAGAAAACGAATGTGTACTGGTACATTTCACAACATGAAAAGCAGTTATGCTCACATTATGGAGTATAATATCATGAATGAACTCTGAAAACATGAAAGAAGCCAGAAACCAAAAAGCAACATACTGAATGACTCCATTTATACAAAACATTCAGAACAGGTAAAGAGACCACAAGTAGATTATGTTTGCTAGGGGGAGAAGAAATGGAGAGTGATGGCTAAAGGATCAAGTTTCTTCGTGGGGCTATGAGAATGTTCTAAATTTGAATGTGGTAATGATTGCACAATGCTGTGAATATATGAAAAAAAAAACTATCCATGTTAAATGAGTGAATGTATGATATGTGAATTATATCTCAATAAAACTGTTATCTTAAAAAAGAAACAAGGAGGGGGGCTGGCAGGTGGTGTGGTGGTTAAGGGTGCTGGACTCCCACATGGCCAACCATGGTTCAAGTCCCGGACCTGGTCGCTTGGTTTCTCACTTTCTCTCTCTCTCTCTCTGTTCCCCTCTGGTCAAATTAAAAATAAATAAAGTTAAATAAAATAATTCTTAAAAAAAAAAAAAAGAAAAAAAGAAACAAGGAGGGACCAGCAAGTGGCAAAATGGTTATGTTGTTGGACTCCCACATAGTTGATCATGGTTCAAATCCCAGATGTGGTGGCTTAAAACTCACGCCGGGCATGCGTGCGTGTGTGCCCAAGATCTCAAGAGGAGAATGGAGAAGAAGAGACTGCAGTGTGGCCACATCCCCCCAGGGGTGATTTCTTGCTTTCTGTCTGTCTCTCTGGTGAATGCATGCACCCTATAGCAAAAATCTCTTAAAAAAAAAAAAAAGAAACAAGGAAAAAGGATTGGAGACAGAAAAATGAAGTGCAGGTCTGAGAAATAGTGAAAAGTATAAAAAAGAAAGTTGCTGTAGAAAGAGGTTAGTAGATGTTCAGGACATACTAAAAAACTCTAAAGTAGTTTAAAGACCAAAGAATGGGAAAATAGGATCTGAGTAGGAGGTATAACCATAAGCTATGCTTTAGAAGTCTGCAGAATTCAGTAAAACAGAGAGATTTGAAGAGACCACAGATAAAAACAGACATACATATAGGCTGTCAGTGAAAAAAAAAGTATTAAAGAGAGATAAAAAGCTGAGGAGGTAGGAAAATTCATTTTACAAGCCGCTATGATGTACAGTGATTGGATGTATAATTTTTTTGAGAAGTTTTTGCTATAGGGCACGTGCGCTTGCCAGAAAGACAGAGACAGAGAAAGAAGTTGCTGTAGAAAGAGGTTAGTAGTAGAGAATATATGAAAATAAAGAAAATTATGACATTTAGGGAAAAATTGGTGAGGATGTGGAAACATAAGATCGTATACAAGATGGCCAGGGAAAGCCTTATGAATAAATCAAAGGTTCTTAACCCTTATCATACACTTAAATCACCTGGAGACTTGTTAAAATACACCTTGTTGGGTCTCATCACAGAGACATTGATACAACAGGTTCCTGGATGATGTTTTCGGTCTAGGGATCACACCTTGAAAACTGCTGAGCTAAAGGAAGTAAGGATGTGATTCTCCATTCCACTTACTAGAAGGTAACCTTGGCGAACTGCATAACTGGTCCGTGTTTGTTTCCTTAGCGCTTAGAATAGTGCTTGGCTCAGGCAGGCGTATTCACGCCAAAGTGTAAGAAGCACTGCTCTGAGGTCAGTGGTTCTGTCCTCTGGCATCAGCACACCCTGGTATATCCCAATAGGTTGCAAGGTGTGTTGCAAGAAGCGTATTCCTACTGACACAGGCCTGCTTGAGGTTTAGTGGGACTGCAGTCAATTCGAAATTAGGAAAGACCTCTGATGAGAACAATCTGATCAAGTGCTGGGTCATAAGGAGGGTCTATTTGAGGAGTGGTCAGATGAGAAACTAGGAATCGGTATTTATTTGAAGAAAAACAGAAACCAGGATAAAGCAATTAACTTTGATAGCAGTGAGGAATTATTTGCATGTGTTTGTATATTGTATCTATAAATACTGAGAACATGTTGAGCTTTTTGAGACAGTCTGGTGGTCCTTGCTGACTGTCTCCCTGTGACCTGGCTGCAGAAATAAAATCCCTTCTTCTCAAAAAACAAACAAAAGAATAGTTCCTGGTGAAGTGAGCACTGAATAAACTTAGCTATTATCACATACAAAATACTTTGGGAAATAACAACAATGGAAAACAGCATAAAAATTGTAACATATTCTTCTGTATGTACCAAATATTATTTAAGACAAAATTTAAACAAGACATTTATGAAATTATATATGATAATATATACTATATATAAGTAATATGGTTATAAAATGTTTTGGAATAAAACTTTTCAAACTAGAGAGAAAGAGAGTGTACCAAAATTTTTCCCGTTGTTGATAAAAATAAATGACTAAATATTCTTTATGAATAATACAGTCTCCTTTAGAATATAAGCCTGCTATTAAAATTGATGAAGAGGAATTTTTTTCCCTGGGCTTACCTTTAAGATGGTACACACTAACTTAAAAAAGCATAAACACTATATTAAAAATAAATGTAGAACTTACTTCGACAATCAAGACATTCTAAAAAGAAAAGAGAAATGAAAATCAGTACAATGAATCACACAGTACTTCCAATTATCCAAATTCTAGTTTTTACATATTTTACTATATCACACATTGCTTTTTTAAGTTTTGCTATATTGTGCATGCATACGCTCACCAGAGAGACAGAGAGAGAGAGGGAATGGCCACCCTGCAATCCCTTCTACTCTATTCTCCTCTTGGGATTTTGGACATGCATGTACACACGCCTGGTGTGTTTTTCAAGTTGCCAATCCAGGACTCAAACTGTGAAGTTGGCCACGTAGGATTCAGCTGCCTTAACCACCATGCGGCTGGCCCTCAAACACCATTTTTAAAAAGTAGGCCATCTGTTGGGATTTGCAATTCTTTAATACTGAAATTTTCCCTGCAGTGGAATGTTTAAAAATAAAATTTGACAGATATGCACAAAAAAAGCTTCCATTACTTAATGTGAGGTCTAATCTTAGGGAAGACTTGAAATTTCTCTGAGTCTCAGTTTCTCATGTATAAAATGAAAAACACGAACTAGTTAACCTTTTATGTGTCTTCTAATATTTTATATTTGTACAACTCCAGAATTATGTATTTAACTTATCATATGGAATCTAATTCAAAACCCATTTTCTCATTAGACTAAAACTGATCTGCATTTTCTGGATGTGTTTGTATTTTTTTCACAGCACTGAAGAAAGATATCAATGCTCCCTTCGACCATATACCCTTGCCCCTCTTTCTATATTTCAGAATTTTATAGTAGAAAGAGTCCATAACAGAAAACATGGGCCCAGTAGCAGTGGCAGAGTATAACATAATGCTCCATGACTCTTGGACCCACATGGGAAGGTAGTTCTGGTTCATGACCTAGGATCTCCCTTGTGTATACTAGGTTTACATGTGTGACCATAATCTAGGCTGGCTGAGGCTAAGGTATATCATGGCATGAGGACCCTGTTGGGGATGCCTCTCTCTCTTTCTCTTTCCCACTCTCATGTGAAAGAAACTTTGAAAAAATATTTTGAAGAGAAAATACCATATAACAATTACTTCCCAGAGAAGAGAAGAGTCCTCTCTGTTCTTATGCTAGTTATAGGAATGAGGCAACATTTCACATCATGCCCATGAAGAGATTTGTGATGTATTGTTTATCTCTAGCTCCCATTATTCTGTCATACCACAATAGTAACAAGATTGTAATGTTCTATATAGTCTTGTAAGACAGTGGTTATTAAGTCAAGGCACACGAGAGCCACTGAGTTACAAAAAAAATCTGTGTAATTTTTTTTACCTCACCTTGTTTATTCTATATTTTTATATGTATTTTACAACTTATACAATATTACTACTGTACCTCATATATAGCTTATAAATACTTATATAATAAATACTCAAAAACTTTTTAATTGATTGGGCATGTAAATTAAAGCTTGGAAAATCACTGCTCTAGGTGTTCTAAGTATAGGGCTGGCCTATACTTTAATTTCCTATACTTAAAGCAGTGGTTAAGGGAACTGGATTGGATCCCCCATGGCTGACAACAATTCTGGTCCCAGTAGCTTGGAAAGCACACTGGGTATGCGTATCTGTATTCCCAGAAACCTGATGGGAGGGAAGAGAGGAAGAGGAGGGACTGCAGTGTGGTCATGTCCCATTGAGGCTGCTTCCTGTCTCTCCCCCTGTCTGACAAGTACACACATGAGCCCTCTGGCAATACAGGAAAAAAAAAGTAAACCTGTAACCAAGTAAAGCTTCAACCTTTCCGAATTTCAAAGAAGTTTATCATTGGAAGTAAGATCTCTCACAAGACTAGATATGCCCAAATACAGAATGAAGTAAGGTCAGCCTGTAACTTTTGGCAAGCAATTCTCACTACTCTCACTGTGACCCACCCCAGTGAAGCAGCTACTATAAACAACTGCAACCTTTTTTTTTTTTAATTTAATTTTTTTTTTTTTGGAGAGGTTTTCGCTATAGGGCGCATGCGCTCGCCAGACGGACAGAGAGAGACAGAGAGAGAGACAGAAAGCGAGAAATCACCCCCCCGGGGGATGGTCACGCCGCAATCCCTTCTCCTCCATTCTCCTCTCGGGATCTTGGGCATGCACGCACACGCGCCCAGCGTGAGTTTTAAGCCACCGGGTCTGGGACGCGAACTGTGGTCGCCTACGTGGGAGTCCAGCGACATAGCCATTACACTAACTGCTGGTTCCCACCACTGCAACCTTTTGGTAGCCTATTTCACAGGCAGGAAAAAAATTTTGTTCACAGTGGAGTTCAAAATAGGGGAAAAAAATAAAATAGGTACAAAACAAAACAATCACATAAATCCAGAAGCACACAGAAAATGCGTTATGTAATTACAAGTTCTCAATTTTTATGAGGCCTCAGCAAATCCTAATGAATAAATAAAAAATATGAGGCTCAGACATCAAATGCCTTCCTCAAAGTCACAAAGATAGCCAACTGGTAGAGTAGGAATTGAACAGAGGTATCTATTCTAGGTCCAAAGTCCATATTCTCAAGCACTGAGGGAAAAAGGTTATATATCTATATCTAGATATAGATAAATATCTAGATATATCTCTAGATATATCTGCATACATATAAATGTCCCCAAAAGATAAAATGAAAGTTTAACCTCATAATCTCACCATCAAAAAAATAACTTCATTTAATTTTTACTTCTTGACTTTTCCATAATAAATATGCATTACTGGGAACCAGCAGTTAGTGTAGTGGCTATGTCGCTGGACTCCCACGTAGTCGACCGCGGTTTGCGTCCCGGACCCGGTGGCTTAAAACTCACGCCGGGCATGTGTACCCAAAATCCCAGGAGGAATGGAGGAGAAGGGATTGCGGCGTGACCATCCCCCCTGGGGGGAGATTTCTCACTTTCTGTCTCTATGTCTCTCTCTGTCTGTCTGGTGAGCGCACATGCCCTATAGCAAAAAACCTCTCCAAAAAAAATGCATTATTGTGAAAAGAAAGTTATTTTAGAAACAGAGACTTTTTTTTTTTAATTTGGTATAAGGTGTGTAATGCTTGCCAATGAGAAACAAAGAGAGAAGGAAAGTGGGAAAGCATCCCCAGAGGATGGCCACACTGCAATCCCTTCTCCATTCTCCTCTCAGGATTTTGGGCATGCATGCACAAGCATGTGGCATGTTTTTCATGCTGCTGGGTCCAGGACTCAAACCACAAATTCAGCCATGTGGGATCCATCTGCCTTAACCACTATGTCACTGGCTGGCCTGAAACAGAGACCTATTTCAGATCGCAGAGCTACAATGGTGAGACAGAACTATTAGATGGGAAAGGCAAGATCAGACTAAATCACAAAAAGACTTGAAGGTTAGGACCATTCCAGCCTTAAAAACTGATTATAGGAGTAATGGCTTCTAAATGTAGACAAAGCATGCTGAAAGGGTTTTTTTTTCTGGCAGTGGTAATACAGTCCTTCAATCTTGTTGAGCTTTAATTTCCTGATCTATAAAGTGGGAGGTAACATCTCCCTCACAGGATTGTTGTAAAACTTCTATGAGAGTAATGTCTCAATATTTGACAATGTATGTAAGTAAAATATAACTGGCAACTTAAAATAACATTCCATCATTTATCATTGGTTATGCAAAAATCTTTCCAATGTATAATAATAATACTCAAATATCTTTCTATCTCTATTATTTTCAATTAAACATGCTCCTGAACAACTAGTGGGTCAAGAAAAAATCAACAGGTAAATTTAAAAATAAGTATCTTGAGACAAATGACAGTGAAAGCACAACATCCTGAAATCAATTGTCTATACTGGAAGAATTCTGATGTACTAAGAAGGTTCCTTGAGAGTTCTTAAAATTGTAGTATGTTTAAATTTAATGGGCATATTTACTGGAAACTATTGTAAGACTTCTAAATGCATTGTATCACTTAACCCTCTTAACTTTATAAGGTTGATGCCATTATCACACCCACCCAGCTTACCTATGTATATGTCTATATTTAAAAAGAAGGATCTTTTTTTCAATCTATATATGTAACTATCTACATATATCTAAATCTATACACGTATATAAATAGACAGGGTTTTATTTTTTCCAGGTTTTGCCTTAGGGCAAGTGCACACGCCAGAGAAAGAGAGAAAGACAGGAGGGAAAGTGAGAAATAACCCCCTAGGGACCAGCAATTAGTGTAATGGTTATGTCGCTGGACTCCCACGTAGTCGACCGCGGTTCAAGTCCCGGACCTGGTGGCTTAAACTCACGCCGGGCACATGTGCGTGCGTGCCCAAGATCCTGAGAGGAGAAGGGATTGCGGAGTGGCCATCCCCCCAGGGGGGTGATTTCTCGCTTTCTGTCTCTCTGTCTCTCTCTGTCTGTCTAGCGAGCGCATGCGCCCTATAGCAAAAACCTCTCCAAAAAAAGAAAAAAACAAATAAGTCCTGTCTAGTTGCACTATGTTAACTGCCTTAGTGATTGATTGAAAACAGTATTACTAGTTGACTCTTGGTATAAAGTGCTCTTTTTTTCCCTTTCAAGATATTTACCTTTCCAGTTAAAGTTGAGAGATCATCGCCACCAATTACTTTTATGTCCCCTGTCGACTGGTCATTCTAGAATAAAAAAATAAGAAGACTGTATGTATATCCATCCTTAAGTACACACACACACACACATACAATTTTTCAAATTATCACATGGGAACTAAAAGATTTAAAAAGTTAGCTATCTAATGTCCATAGTATTATGATATTCTAAATGACATGAAATACAAAAATTATGCTTCCAGGAATGAATGACTAGATAACTTTAGAGATTAGTAAAAATTAAAACATTCTAATATGGAATTACTGATTTAATGCTTTTAAGGGCCCTAAGAACAAAGGACATCCATGTTTAAGTGAGCAGGATTATAGCAGCCACCATCTTCAGTCACAGTCACTGCTGAACTGCAAGGGAAGTTATTTGCATGACAGGTATCTGGTTCTGGTCCTAGGTCAAGATAGTTGTAGAAGCTGGTCTATATCACAACCAGCTCCAAGGTAATTCTCTCAAAAGTCTAGTCTAGGCCCAGACTATCTTCAGCACTGTTTGGGAAAGAAGGTCTGATCAGTAGTCCTTTAAAGCATGCCTCTTAGATTCCCACTTATCTGCTATATCACAGAATCCAGTAGAAACCAAGAAAGGAGCTTCAAAGAGCGATGCTCAGCACTCACTGTAGTTGGTAGTGATAAAGACCATAATTT